TGCACATACCCCATGCACATCCTCCTGTATACTTTAAATCCTCTCTAGATTACTTATAATACCTAATACAATGTAACTGCATGTCAAAAGTTGTTATATTGTATGGTTTAGGGACTGATAACAAGAAAAATAATCTGTATATGTTCAGTGCAGATGCAGCCATCATGGGCCTAATTACATAGCACATGTAAACAGCAATGTAACTTTTTTTCTCAATTATTTTCTATCCATAATTGGTAGAATCTACAGATGGGGAACACCCAGATTCCAAGGGACGACTGTGTTTGTCAAGCACGTGCTAGCCTAGGTTCTGAGGACACAGTACTAGACAGAGCCCCAGCTCTCTCGTGTAGCTTACTTTTTAGTGGGAATGACAGACAAGCAAATATAATGCTAGGTAGGACCTGGGGGTGATTTTAAGCAGTGGAGTATTGTGACTTGATATATGTGTGAAAAGACTCACTCTGGTGACTCGGTGGAAGCAGGAAGGCCGCGCAGGGGCCACTGGAAATTCGCACAAGAGAGGGTGGTGCCTGGGACTCATGTGACCACAGTGGAATCGGGAAAGGTAGTCTCATTCTGATTGTAGTGTGAAAATAGATACAGGACTTGGTGATGGGTTGAATGCTGGAGTCTGGAGACAGAGCAAACTCAAGAAGGACATCTTCGATTTGGGTCTAATCCATGGGAAAGCGGTGGTGCCATTTCCTGAGAAGGAGCAGATTGGTGGTTTCATGCAGGATGTCTGAGGATTGAGATACCCCTTAGAGCATCCAGGGAAGGGTGTCAAGTCAGCAATTGGACAGATGAACCTGGGGCTCAGGAGATGGAGGGGTTTGGGCCAGAGAAATGTATTTGAGCGATGGGTTTTCAAGCCATAGCGTGGGTAGAATCACCCAGGAATGGGTGTCACAGTGACAAGGGACAGGACCAAGGATGGAGCCCTGGGGCGTGCCAGCACTTACAGATGAGTAAGAGGAGGAAGACCCAGTAAAGGGCACCGAGAAAGGGGTGGCCAGTGAGGTAGGAAGAAAGCCAGGAGACTGGTGAAGGAACGGAGGGGCCCATCACTGGGTTGTGCGGGTGAGACTCCGCCCATTGGTCGTGCATGTGGCAGAGGTATCAGAGAGCGCCCCACAATGGGAGAGTGCGAGGCCAGGAGGTGGGCCGCCAGAACACACCAGGCTTTTCAGTTCATCTGGGAAGAGAGGAGGGAAATGGGGTGGTAGTGGGAGAGGAGTGGGGGCAAAGGAGGCTTTTTTGGTTCTTTGCTGAATTTCCTGAGAGGTATTTGAGCATTAGAGCAGGGAGAAGGGTAGGCTCACCAAGAGACCAGGCTTACGAAGGCACAAGCAGGAGTGACTAACTCATAATAACAGAAGACGATGTGTAAGGTACAGATAGAGACTCGTGGGAGCTTGAGAAGTGGTGAGGAAAAAAAAAACGCAGTCAGAACCTGTGGCAGTTAAGAAACGGCCTCGGGTGGGAGGGCGGTGGGACCGGGATGGGGCCCTCACGGGCTTCAGCTGTGAGTTTGATCGTTCCTCCGATGCAGGTGCTGGATATGTGGCTGTCCATGCCATTCATTCATCCTTTCATTCAAACTTTTGTTTAAGAATCATAACTCCCCCCATCATCCTTTAACATATAAGTAAATTTTCATTCCCCCCAGATCATCCTTTAGTATATAAGTGACTACATTTTCATTTATAAAGCTGTTTATTTGTTGAGTTTTCACATTGTATTGAAATTAATTCATTGTTCTCGGTGTCCTGAAAAAAACTGGATAAAGCCCTCTTGACAGTTTATGTTGGAATTTCAGAGGACACTTGTGAGTAACCTCTTTAAAGGTCTGTTATTCATTGAATGATTCATTTCAAGAAGTCATTCCAAGTTGGTGCTGTTATCTGAGTTCTTAATATAGCACTTTGCTGCCACCTAGTGTTATAAATCTTTCTGAGTTTTTTGGGAGAGTTTTGGGGAGGATTTGAGACATTTTTAATAAAGGAAACTTTATTTTTCAGACTAAAGTGCTGTTTTTAGTGTGTGTGTGTGTGTGTGTGTGTGTGTGTGTTTAAGATTTTATTGGGGAATTGGGGAGGGGAACAGACAAGTTGCTGTCCTTTTGTTCTTCAGTCTAGTTGTGGAGGACATCGCTTCACTGGCCCATGTTGGTATTATCATTGCGCTTTTCCTGGGTGAGGCAGTTGCTCACCGGCCATTGGACAGCTGCTTGCAGTGGCTCGTGACAGCTCACGAAAGCTCATGCCCGCTGCCGGCCAGCCCCATTGCAGCCTACGCCGTCACTGGCGGCTCACAGCAGCCCAGCTCTAGGTCGAGCTGTTGTTAACCATCTTAGCTGTAGAGGGCGCAGCGTCACTGGCCCTCATGTGGGATCTGAACTGGGGCCCAGCTGCTCAGAGCTGACGTCCCAAGCCAACTTTTAACCAACGCACCACTTGGCACTCGGTGCTTGTGTATGTGTTTTTAAGTAGTGGACCAAAGTAATAATCTCTGTCACTCAGCCCTGTTAAAACATAAATAAAATAAACCAGATATCTAAAGACAGATTGGTCTGTTTTGGATAGAAAGAATCAATTTTTAGAACCTTCTTAATTCTGTACATTTTTACTGTAATTAAGGATTTTATGCTGAGTGTTCTTTTAAATGGCACTACCAGGAGAGTTTTGAGGATGTTTCTAGAACACAGCACTAACCCAGGATCCTACACAACCCTTCACAAGTGTCATTCGTGAGAAACAGTGCTCAGACCCCTCAGTCATTGTTGATGTTAACCCGTCTCCCCAGGTTGGAGATATATTTGCCTAGATTCGATGAGCATACTTCAGATAACCTTGAAAAGTAACGATACCCACTCTGTCGTTCCTCTGCCTTCGTGACCAGTCATTTGTGCAGTGTTCACTGTTTGCCAGCAGCTTCTGTTTGTTTTGAGAATTGGCCAGAGACAGCGTAGCATAATCCTATATTTGTATAAGGGTAATTTTTCCCTTAGATGGGTATTGCGGGAAATGGGTTAGACAAATTAATTTAAGTTGCCGTTTCATTGGTAATGTAAATAAAGTTAAGCTATTTATTTTTATATTTAGTTTCCACATGGTCCACCTTATAAAAATCATCCCATAGCCCGTAGGCCTGGAGTTTTTTGCTGGAATTTTTCTGGGTTAATGTAATTGTCATCCAAAGCTGTCTGTACTCCCACCCTTTCATGCTGGATAGAGCTTAGCCTGGGTGAAGGTAGGGAGAGGTATGTATTTTTTAAGAGGAAGAAAGGTGCCTGTTTCTCCTTGGAGCAGCTTGCAGTTGCAGTGGGAACAAAAGGAGGAAGCAGCAGGTTTGGGAAGAAGGAAGATGTGGGTGAGCATATGTACACGTGGGTCCTGAGTGGAGCAGCCTCCTCCCTGGCTGAGAGTGCACTAGGTTTGGCAGAACTCTGCGCTCCATGGGATCAACTTGAAGTTATTTTACATGCATTCTTATAAACGAAATCAGTGTGGTCTGCATACCGATTTAATTCACTTGCTAAGTAGAACTTTCTTGACGAGTTGGTCAGCTGCAAAGTAGAAGTACAACCGCACCATTGGTTAGCTCCATGGCTCTGGGCAAATTCCTTAACTTCCCCATGCCTCAGTTCCACATCTGGAAAACGTTTCTAATTGTAAGAATTATTTGAGGCCACAAGTGTAAAAACTCCTAGCATGATGCTTGGCACACTGCTCAGAAGCTCAAATGGCACAGATTATTAGCACCAACATTATCGTTCACGTAAAGATCACTGAACTGGGAATGAAGACAAACTTAGATCCTTGGAGTGGACACAGAAGTAACATTAGAATGTACTTAGTGTTAAATGTGGGCACATGTTCCTAAAGGGATATTGTGTTCTGAAGTTTTATTCTGGGAGGAACTTGGTAAAGCTGCTATCTTTGGTAACCGTTATAAGAAATGAATTCTTTACTTGGTCAAGGAAAACTTCCTTTCTCAAGAGCCTTTTCTTGACTCAGCTATAAAGAAAACGGAAAGCTATTGGCTTGCTTTCTGCAGTTTATTAACTGATTGTATAAAGCTTTAATTTGGAACTAAATCACATCAATAAATATTTAATCATAAAGTAAGGAGAATGTGGAAGATTTATTTCCTTAAAAGTGTATATTACCCATAACAGATTTGCTGTAACTGCCCCCTGCCTCCCTGAATTAAAGTCATGAAATAAACAGAGGGTCACATAGGGGAGCCATGCAGGAGTACCTGGGGATCCTGCATGTAAATGTATGTGTACTGGATGTCTAGATGTGCATCTGTTCATCGTCCTGCCCGTCCTGCCTGCCTGCCTGCCTGCCTTTCAGTAGGCTTGTTAACTCCGTGAATTTTCCTGGAGGGACTGGAGTGCTCTTTCTCACAGCAGTCCTGGGCAGCACAGGGCCCCGGGGCCAGCACTGAGGCCGCTGGGGCCAGCGCTGACCGCACTTTGCCTTCCTTTTCCACCCACTTTCCTTTGGTTCTCTGCCTCTCGGTTGTTGGTGAGTGCTGTGGCTGTAGCCCTCCTGATGTGATGTGCTCTGGCCATGTGTGTCTGAGAATCCTTCCTGCTAGTGCACGTGGCACGATTTCCTTTACTCGCCATGGCATCTCTTAGTTGCCCGGAGGTTTCTATACTTCTGCACTTAGTTTAAATTGTGCATCATTGCAAAATTACTTTTTTTTTAACTGTTTCACATGTGTTCATATAACAAAAATAAACAAACGTTTAATTTAGTTCAAATGACCCTAAATGATGAGGAGTGTTTTCTGTACCTTTGAAGTATTTGGTTGGAATTATTTTTTGTAATTTGAAACTTGTTCAGTCTGAGATTATTGAGCTCAAATCTAAGTAGTTTTGCATAAATAATCTTTGTGACTAATGTCAGTTAAGGCACATGCTTAGTTAGCTGCCAGTGTATTCACCTGGTCCACTTTTGAAACCCAAACTGGCCTTTTTGCAGGGCGACCTAAAAGCTTACCTGCGCATGGAGCAAGAGCACCTGCGCGGGGACTCGCAGACCATGCTGCTGCAGAGGATGGCGTGTGAGATCGCCGCGGGGCTGGCCGCCATGCACAAGCTGCACTTCCTGCACAGGTGGGTCTGTCAGTAGGGCCGCGGAGGGGCCTTGCACACTGCCAGCATTGTACCAGAAGAGGGGGTGCGGTTTGTGAAAGGGCCTAGAAAAAGCTTCGGGAGGACAGGCTGGAGAGTTGACAGCGTGGTTCATATTAATGTGGAAGCTGTACTTCCCCGTGTCAGAATAAGGGTTGAGTTGGACCTCGTTTAAACCAGTGCAAGCGAACGGAATGTCTTACTACAGCCTGAGGTCTGGAAATTATTTTCAGAACTTCAGAGATAGTAAAAAGTTGTAGTTGCACAGTGTTGAGAGTAAACAGCCCCGGTCTACCCCTTGACATCTCTCGTTGTCCTTTTCATGTCAGCTTTAGCCTCTAATTGCTAGGTCTCACGGCGTCATGTTCCTGGGAGAGGAGAGGACCTCATAGGCTAGCATCTTTTTTTCCGATAAGGCCATAGCATTGGTTTCTAGCGGGCGCTCCATGAGAGGCCTGCCAGTGGCCAGGTTGGAGGAGGAGGTCAGGGTTTGTGTGAGCAGCACAGCGGGCAGTGAACATGTGTCTGTACAAACCTTCCTGGCCCTGCTGCATAGCCACAGCTCTTTGGAGCACACTGTATTTTGTTCAGACCATTGATGTAATTTTTGTAATTAAAACAACAAAGGGCTTTGAGTCCTGAGACGATGGTTCTGTGAACCCAAAAGGAGATTTTTGCTTATTTTCCTCTAGCTTTTTTTTTTTTTTAAGATTTTATTGGGGATTCGGGGAAGGGGAACAGACAAGTTGCTGTCCTTTGGTTCTTCAGTCTAGTTGTGGAGGATGTCGCTTCACTAGCCCATGTTGGTATTGTGATCATTGCGCTCTTCCCGGGTGAGGCAGTTGCTTGCCAGCCGTTGGACTGCAGCTCACGGTAGCTCACGGTAGCTCACAGCAGCCCACTACAGCCTATGCCGTTGGCTGGCGACTCACGGCAGCCCAGCTCCAGGTCGAGCTGTTGTTCAGCATCTTAGCTGTAGAGGGCAGTGTCACTGGCCCTCATATGTGGGATCCGAACCGGGGTCCTGCTGCTCAGAGCTGGTGTCCCAAGCCAACTCTTAACCAACGAGCCACTCGGCTGGCCCTCTCCTCTAGCCTTTTGAGCTCGGATTTATGTTTAAAAGATGTCTAAAATTATTTCTCAAGTCTTCCAGGAAATAGGCATTGTCTCTTTAGTTGAGTTTAATTAAATCATTTAACTCTTAGCGATCCAAAGACCTGAAAAGGAGCACCGGTGTGTATTGACTTGAAGGAATGTCTGTGAAGTATTGTATTTTTTAAAAAGATTGTGCAGGAATGTATTTCTAGAATGACTCCATTTTTTTAAAAATAAGAAAACACTTGGTTGTGTTTGTAGAGGGGCGTGTGTGTGTATGTGTGTGTGAACAGACATGGAAAATGCCCGTCATCCTCAGCATTACTCAGAGCGGGGAAGAAAGGGCACTGGTACCGTTTTCCTTACATGTCTGTGTCTTGATTGACTTGCACAGTGAGCAGATCATTCTGAAAAAGTGCTTTTTAAAAACCCAAAAGATTATAGGTTTCTTCAGGCCCAAGGTAGAATCCCTTACGTGAAACTTCAGCATATAAAGATCTATGTGTTTTATAATGGATCAATCTTATATTTCATTTTTATGATGATTATTACCTAATACTTGGTTTAGGAAGTTTTAGATTTGGGAAAATGGAGCTTGACAAAGAATATCATACCAGAATCAGCAACATGAAGTTATCAAAAAGCTAGAAATTGTGTTTAAAGCCCAAGTACATTTTGACTATTGTATTTTAAAAATTGGCAAAGATGTCAGAGGAAATGTTATTTTCCTGTGAGTTTCTTCAGGTTAAAGTTTCACTTTATTTAGACTCTTGTGAACTTGAGAACAAATAAAGATAAATTAAATCACATGGTTTAGATTTTATTCAGGTACAAACACTCAAGGTAAAGAAAATTTTTGAAACCATTGACAACTGTCTCATTTTGTTTTAAAAAGTAACCATTTTTCATGTAAAATTTCCATTTGGGGCAGAATTTTATACCTTATTTTTTTGTTGGTAGCATACTGTATAGCACATTTTAAAGTTGGAATCTGGAATATTTATTGGCTGACTCAAAGCCAGACTTTTTGTGTTGGTTGAAAATAGAGCAGCCCATATGTCCAACTGAAAGCTGTTAGCTACGATTGGAAACTGATCGAGTAAAGCACCCCCAATTCAATGTTATTTTTACTTATTGTCGAAGAAGAGACTTATGCCTGGTTCTGAGGTAGCCTGCATTTCTGAAGTCGAACATATGATTGTGAAGGCCACGTAAACAGCAGAAGCTACCAGTGTGCTGTGCTCCCCACTCTTGCCATGCTCGCCGAGAGCCAGGGACTTCCTGTCCCCTGCCTGTCAGTCTTCCTGAGCAGCTCCATTGAGATGCCACCAGGTCACAGCAATGAGCTAAGTGAGCTAAGTGCAGAGGGGTTCCAGCGGGCTGCCTGGGTTCTCCTTGGATCATGGTGCAGGAGACCTGTGTGACCGTGGCCTTGGGGAGCTCCCAGCTGACTATCTGCACCCAAGAGTCGCTTTAGGATTTTCCCAGTTTCAAAGTTAGCGTTGCTTTCTGCTGAAAAACACTGAGGTTAGTAAGTTACTCAGCCCTGAGTGTGGGTATCCAGTGTTATAGGAGCACGATAAACACTGGTGTTAGGTGCCATTTTCCTTTATTTTTCTCCTATATTGTACTACGAGTGTCCACGTTGGTAGAGCTTAGAAAGTCTACTTACGAATTGGCTTGTGGGCACCTGTAGCTTGAGTGTGTTTCTTTCAGTCAGTGAATTATTAGGGGTTTTCATTCATTTGTGTGCATGTAAAAATCTTTAGTTTATATTTTTTAAAATGCCTTCTGATGTTGTTTTCTATTTTAAAGGTTTGTGTTTAAGGAATACATTTTATGTATGGCAATAAATATGATTGCTTTAATTCTTTTGATTGATCATTTTAAATAAAAGCCACAGATAGCACCTGGCACATAGTGTTATTAAGTGAAAAAAAGATGGTACAGCTCTAGCATCCTTTTGCTTTCGTGATAAAACCCAAGGATTTTTCTTAAACAGACTTTGGAATCAGGTTTGGTGTAAAAGTCCACAAGCACTCACTCAGCCAGTGTATGGAAATGAAGGAATGGGCAGGTGTAGGCGCAGTTACTCGCCTGGTCTGGCCTCATGTTCTTCCCTATTAAAGTCTTGATACTAGAGCTGAATTCTTGGGATTAATGTATAGATTCAGTGCAATCTTAAAGCTCCTATTATAGTGTCTAGCTCGGTATAAGTCAGGAAGGAAGGAGAAGCAGGAAAAATGATAATTGTGATGAATGAGGCCTTCTCTTACTTTTAGAGTTTTTAGTTTACTTGCTTTGTTTTGGAGTTGTTTTAATAGTAAGTTATAGACAGTGTACACTTCGTTGATTACATTTTCATTGATCTTCTGCGGTCTCTAAAGCTCCGTGCTACATGAGCTAAGGGATACAGAAATGTATTTAAAATCCAAGCAGAACCCGCAGCTCTCCCTTGAGCAGGAGAGTCACAGCATGTGTTCACCCCAGGCAGAGTGATCACTGTGTCCCAAGCTTTTGCAAAACATTCTGTGAGTAGCTCTTTTGTCCTCAGGACAACCTAAAGAGCCATGAGGCAGGTGCCATTACTGACCCCGTTTTCTAGAGGAGGATACTGATGGTCAGAGTGATGAGTGGTTTGTGTCTTAGCCCCTGACTCGAGCAGCCTGAACCCAGGCCACTTGACTCTGGAGCCTCGCTTTCTCCCTCTCTGTATGGTGGCGAGTGCCGCCGTCTGCCATACACCACCTGTGGTCTTTCCTACTGGAAGAGAAGTGACTTTTGTCCAGGGGGAATCAAGGAGGTAGCATTTTAGTTGTTCTTGAAAACAGGCATCAGTTGGAGAATGGAGATTAGGAAATTGCTAGAGAAGGGAGTAGCAAGAATATGTAAGTGGTGGGAGAGAGGGGAAAAGGGGTTTCGGGAAATACAAGTAATCGAGTTTAATTGCTAAAGATGCACGAAGGGAAATCGTGGAAGATCAGCATAGAGAGGTAGCCTGAAGCCAAATGATAGGGGCCCTGAGTGCCAGGATGAGTCTTTGAGTTTATTCTGTAGGCGGAGGAGTGACAGAACTAGAGCTCTGCACACGCATGGGTGTGTGCTTAGTCACCTGTGCGGCACAGTGTAGGACGCTTAGGGAAGAGGACACCGCTGACAAGAGAACCAAATAGGAACTACAGAGGGTGGCTGTCCGCGGTGTTTTCTGTTTCCCCTTCTACGTGGAACATCTGTCGGAGACAGGGTCTTCTTTACCTTCGTATCTCCCAGATGTATTTCACATAGAAGTGGGGACAGGCAGCAGGGAGAGGAAGCAATTTAAATGTAGCGTCAATCCAGGAAGAAATGGAAGACTTGAATGGATCAGGTAACTAAACTGGAAAAGTGATTAAAAAGCTTTCACTGAAAAAGTCACCAGGTCCAGAGGGCTTCATGGTTGACTCCTGCCTGACCTTTAAAGAACAGATGACACCAATGGATTTAAACTATTCCAGACCATAAGGAAGACTGAGTTTTCTGTAACTCATTTTATGAATCCACCATAACTTTAACAGCAAAAGATGGCATAAAAAAGAAAATTATAGATTGTCATTAATGAATATTAGCAAATTTCACCCAGCAATATGTGAGAAAAACAAGTATGACTTCTAGGAGTATAAGGGTAGGTTTATATAAAAAAATATATCTGCATAATTTATTACATTGCAACAAAATAAAAGAGGAATTGTTAGTACATTGCTGAAATGTCATTCAGTATAATTCAGCAGCCATTCCACATTTAAATCTGTTAGTAAGGACTATTTACCAAAATTCAATAACTGTCATTCTAAGTGACAAAATAATACAGCCATTCAATTAAAATGAGAAACCAAACAGATGCCCACAAT